AACTTCAAACTTCGTGATGTTACGCTCGTTGCAAGAAGGCGAAATGAGCGCCTAATTATTTCATTTGGGGGACTTTTTTGTTGAAGAGCCCAAGCATATAACGGTAGAGCATGAGTCGAAAACAAGCTAGTTGATACGTGCTTACTTCGAGATTAATCGATTATTTGAATGATGATGTGATTATTTGATGATCAATTTATAAATGGTTTGTAGCTTTTTTTCTGTTACTTTACAATTCGACTTTCAGTAACTTAGTGATTAGTCCCGCTCTCAACACTGACTTCGAAAGAAGATACTCATTGATGTTATCTGTTACTCTAGCTCACCGCGATAAAGCTGTCCCTATATCGCGACTCTTCGCTTTCTTTGGTGCTCTGCTGGGTCAGCGGTGCTGGGGCAGAGGGTCGAGATCCGGTCATCTACGATAGTGGAGGTAGATATTTTCAACTGCTTGCCTGACTTACCTGTACATAAGAAGTGGTAGTAGTTGTGGTAGTTTTCTCAGTAGAAGGTTCCACTTGTCGTGTTGCTACAGTGCGCTGGAAAAGGTTTTTTCTTTTTAAGTTTACTTGAGCTCCAAAATGAAAAGCATACCCTCAATTGAGTATCCTCATCGGTTCGGGTGGTAGTCGTGACCTGTGACGGTGGTGGCACCTCATCATGAACATGCTAGAACACAAGTTTAAACGATGGTTGCGCTAGAAACTGTAACACTTTACCTGTACAAATCCACCGGTAGTTGTCGTCGTGGTCACCTTGGTAGTCATTTGAGGTATACGAGATTCGACCAACCGCTGCAAACAAAATTGTCCCTAATCATTCGCGAAAAAACAACTAAATCCACTTTACCCTTCGCGCTTCCTCCTCTTGTTCTTCCCTCGTCGTGGTCACCGTCGTAGGAGCTCCCGACGTTGTGATTAACTTCTGCAAAAAAAAATCCATGAGAAAATAAAACCGGATGTTTTTATGCCCCCATTCAAATGAATTCATAGTTTTGCACATTCAATAGAATGATGGTGATAGA